TTCACCTGTGTATATATTACCTCCCCCTTTTAAAAAGAATCTTGCAAACAGTTTAGTATCTTTTTTCCTTGGGGTCGATTTGGAAATGAACTGTTTGTGTTCGTTTACGCTGGGATCGTCGGCTGGGTAGCATCTCTTGTTTTGCTTCTGGTTTGACTGGTGGTATTTTGAAAGTTTCCAGTAGTAAATCCAGTGGCAATTTAGGTTCTTGGGATGTAGTATATCGACGTCGTATCTGATTTTTATGTCTAATCCACCATTCATCCCCAACTTTAACCTTGTACATTAGAGTTCCATGTCGACATTCTATCAAGCCTTCGGCCCATTTTCTGTTCCTCGGTCGATAATCGCGCACATAGACGGCATCACCCTTGCGGTAATACTTCAGACTATTTCTTCGTTGTTGTGACGAAGATGGTAACATGGAGTAGTGATGAGTTCGTAGCATTCGACCCATTAGAAGTTCTGCAGGGCTTTTCTTCTGTTCTGCCAGTGGTGTAGTTCGGTATACAAAAAGAAAGTTTTGTATTGCTTCCGGTTTCGCCCCTCCCCCTGCTTTCAACAACGCTCGTTTGAAGGTGTCGACAAATCTTTCTGCCTGACCGTTGGATTGAGGGTGATAAGGTGGCGTCCGCACGTGTTGTATACCGTTTCTCTTGCAAAATTCCTGGAACGCTTGTGAGGTGAACTGACTGCCATTGTCAGATACGATGATTTCTGGTATACCGTGGCATGCGAAGATCTTTTCCAGGACTGATACTATTCTGCTGCTAGAAGGTGGTGTCACTTGTACTACCTCCGGCCATTTTGAGTAAGAGCCCACAAGCACCAAGTAGTATATACCTTCTATCGGCCCAGCAAAATCCACATGTAGGCGGGACCATGGTTTTGACGCGGGCCATGCTCTCGGTGGCGGATCTTTCGCTGCCATGACAGACATCACTTTCAGTTTTTGAGCAGGGCCCGTCTTACGGGAGCTAACAGTCGCTACTTGTTGCTACCAGACATCGAAGCACTTTTGGCGCAGCCATACTCATTGTGACGATTCGAAGTTGGTGTTTCATTAATCACGTCATTCTTTCTAATGGGCTTAGGTTTAATATATCCGTCTCTGATTTCTGGCTTTCTTGTTGAGGGTTCAATACTTTCGATCTTTTGGCATACACTGCTTAACGGAATCTCTGACAGGTGCGGCTTCTCGAACCAGTCTAAACCCAAGAGGTCAAGGTTTGAATTATTGATGTAGCATGTGCCGACGAAATGACTATCGCGAAAATCAACGCCGCATTTTATTTCTCCATTCAATCGAAGTCTTCCACCACATGCGCTAATTGCTATCTGATTTGTCTTCTCTATGGCAGGGCATCCCAACTTCTGCCATAATTTCTTTGATATTATTGTAATATCGGATGCTGTGTCGATTTGTAGGCGTGCCGGCCGTGTATTAATCGTCAGATCGATATATTTGCGAGGTGCTGGAGTACTAATATGATATGCGGCAGTAACACCCAAAGACTTGAGCTTGTTGCGCCGTCTGAGTCGACTATGAGGTCTGCGTCGGTTGTTGCGTTTGCAGTAGCCATCTTTGTGACCAACAGTATGGCATCGATGGCATTTATGCTGTTTGAATGGGCACAATTTTGCAAAATGCCAGGAGCCACAGTGACAGCAGGCTGATGGTGGTTTATGCTGAGGATGAAGCGGTGCGGTTGATGTCGACGGTACTGGATGCACCGCATGCACTTCTGCTGCATTTTGGCTACCAGACTGCACCAAGGCGGTATCGTTATGAATGTTGATTAAACGCTGATATTCTTCACCAACGTCTTTCAAAGTCATTCGTGGATCTTGTTCCAGGCGATTTAATAGACGTGTGCGTATATCAGCAAATTTGGGAGACTGCAAACCACAAATGAAAATCAATACCCTGAACTGGTCTTCTGAGAGTGATTTCAATTTAAAACGTTCACACGTGCGATTGACTATACCCAACTGAGTATGGATATCATCATTTTCGTTCGACACTAGTTTCATGCAATGATATCGAATGTTGAATAACGATCTCTGATCACCAAACTGATGACGAAGGGTATGGACAGTTTCATCGAATGATCTTTCGCTGGGCTTCTGTGGGAGAATTAAGTTGCAGTATTTATCTAGCTCCTCTGCTCCCAATTTACGAAGTAGAAGCCGTACTTTCCAGGCATCATCTTTATCCGCAAAGTCTACTCGAAATAGGTCTTCATATCTGCGAAACCAGGTATCAAAAGTAACGTTGACATCTGGATCATAAACGAATTCTGCGATGCTGCTACCAATGCTGTCGTTGGCTGTAGATGAATCAGCAGAGCGTGATATTTGTAGACCAGCAAGCATTTCCATCAATTTTAGCTGCTGTTCCATTAGTTTCTCTAAACGCAGTGAGTCCATCTTCAGCAAACCCGTCGCCAAATTTGTTATGTATGTGAATATGAGGACCTTGTAGACTACGAGCGAATCTAACTAATGCGCTGGCTAATCTGTCCTAATCGCACGTCAACAACAACAATACCGCCGGGCACGCAAGACAAAGAAAAGAGAAGACTGGACGTTGATACGAGAGCTTTTACTGTCTCTACAACAGTCGAAATGTTAAACAACAACTCCGTATTTATACAATTAGAAAAATCAATGTCACATTTTAAAAATATTAACAAACCCTGGGAATTCAGTAATTTAAATCAATAATCACGCAGATGCGTGAAATCAATGATTATGCTAGTGTGGGAAATAAATACTGAATATTAATGATTCACCTGTGTATATATTATTTTCTCACAAAATCGACTGGAACAAAGACAGACTTGCAAGTTTCCAGGGGTACTGCCCTGATCTCATCGGACAGATTGTCAAGGTGCTTTCGCTTGAAGTTGCAGCACTTGTCTAGTTAGTCGGTCAATGAAGCCAACAAAATTCACATCCGCCGAATCATGTAAGGGAACTAGTTGTTCACGCCGGGTTATGTTATTACAATAAATGAGTTGAGCTGATGTGCATCCTAAGTCTTCTTTGATTGCTGATCGGATGACGAGTAAGACAAAAGGTAAGTGTTCACTTCATTTAGATGTATCATTCTGTGCTATCAGGGAGCCTTTCGGTTGTCTGTGGAATCTTTCGACAAGACTATTCGCTGCGGGATGGCATGCAGCTGTGGCGGTCTATTGCACTCCAGGAAGTCGGGGATACTCTGTAAATGGTGTCGATTGGAGCTAGGCTTCTTTGTTGGATGTAATCGTAGTTGGGACTCCATAATTTGATGCTCAGAGATCTAGAAAAACTAAGGCGATATTTTCGGCTGATATGTTTTTAAGTAGGCACGAGATAGCCCGGCAAGTAAATCTGTCAATGGATTAGGAATAAATGCACATCCTCTTGGTGTTGTTAGTGGTCCCACAATGTCATTATGAACATGTTGAAATATTTTATCCGGTAAATCAAATGTCCCTGGACTTGTAACAGTGTATTGCACTTTGAAGCACTGGCACTGGGGTCATTCACGTGCTCATTTACGAATACCACGCAAAAGCGTCGCTGATAAGTATGGCCGAAGCACGTACTTTAGGATGAAAAGGGGAATGCAAATGTTCAAATAGGGCTTTCCTACATCTTTGAGGTACAAAGGGGCGATGAGCAACTGTAGAAATATCACGGACGATGGTTCTGTCCGATATACTGAATATTGGTCGGAAAATTGGAAATGAAATTCAGCCGCCTAACTTCTCCTAGCGAATGTCTATCTAGCGGAGTGTTAAAGGCAGAGCAAAGGGGTTTGTGGTCAGTAAAGGTGTTGAAATGTCGACACTATAAAAAGAAACCGAAATGCTTCACTGCCAGATGGACAGCTAACAGTTCTCTGCCGAAGGTGCTATAACGTGTTTGGGCAGGTTCCAACTTCTTGGGAAAGAAAGCAAGCGGAGTGACATAATTGTTTAATTTCTGCTGTATGACTGCTCCTACTGCCACCTGCGATGCATCTAAACATAGGGTAGGGGATGCTTTTGAGTTGATGTAGGACAACGTGAAGACTTTGGACAAAGCTTCTGCGGCATCACAGAAGGATTCGTGTGCTTGTGCTGACCATTGGAAATTTTTGTGATCAGTTTAAAGGAGATCGGTTAAAGGCTCTACGATGGAGGCACATGAAGGAATCAAACGATGATAGAAATTAAACATCTTCATCTTCAATGAGTTTGGTCGGGAGAAGTTTTTGAGTCTCTACCTTTTCCTCCGTAGGTCGGATGCCCTCTGCCGTTATGTAATGCCCCTGAAAATGTATAGGAGGAATACTGCAAGTGCACCTTTTTCGATTTATCACAACACCATTTTGTTTGAAGAGCTGAAAAGAATGCTGGGGTGATCTATATATTCATCTACCGACGTGGCAATTAACACGTCATCTAAATAAAGAACACGAAATCAAGATCTTGAGTGACTGGGTCCATGATGTCCTGAAAGGAGTGTGCAGCCAAAAGGTGTTAAAATGGCTGTTTTCTCAATGTCCTCGGAAGCGACTAGTATCTGGTGACAAACTTTGACCAAATCCACTTTGGAGAAAATAGTCTCAACACGTAGCATCAGAGCGAAGTGGTGCAAATGGGGAATGACATGAAGACCTGGGACAGTAACTTTATTCAAGCGTTGGCAATTCCTTCCTTATAATTTTAGGGAAACATTGCAGTAATGCGGGAGACATGCAATCATCTGGCTTTTCGATGCAAATAATATAAACAGAGTAGTCTGAGATGATTCCATGGATTTGAAGTTGGGTGCCGTTGTCAGTCAGTTTTTTCTTGTTGAAACCAACCAACAGCAAAAAGGGGTTTAGACTCCTTAGGCTAATATAGATTCTTAACACATTGAACCTAGCGATTAATGCAAATTTTCATTGGACATTGAAAAGTGTTCTAGTACTTTTAAAGTCTGACCAAGGTCACTCAGTGTATTTTGATATTTGTATAAGCATGGGCGCCTACATGTCAAAGCCGAATACGGAGAAAGTTACCGAAAAAGGAGGGAACAAATGGATATCATACAGCTCATGCTCTATGCAAGGTTGGAGAATGCACCAAGAGGTAGGTTTTTCGAGGTTTGTTAATAGATTTCAGTTTCGTACTTCTAAAGCTTTGCAGTTGTATACGTTAATATATTATCTGTTTTGAAACGCCTAGGCATACACTTCCGTCAAGCTGATAGGTATGCAAGTCAGAAGCCATGTCTCATCTCTTAACAGACTCACTTTCAACATGACTATAAAATCACGTATACTGTAGACATTCTTTCTCTATGTTGTATTCTTTAACCACATTGCATCCATGCCCGATTTAAGGTGGATTATTCTGTACACGGAAACTTCACTCCACAGGAAAATGACTCATTTTCTCCTTTTACCGTCACTTGAGGGGTTTCGTGGGAATTAGGACATTTCGGTTCACTCGAAGTCTCAAGTTATTTTCGGAAAAAAGTGTTTTTGCGGGTAGTTTTAGGGTTTCACTCTGCATTATTCTGCCCACAAACAACCCCTTAGTTTATAACGGCCCGAAATTCCTTACTTGTTATTTCTAAATATGCCCTTATTGGTGCTGGTGGTTTCCAATAACTCACTTGAATGTTAGGACACTTCCAGTCTACTATTCTCCTGCATGTTGTATTGGATGGAATCTCGTTATCAGTAACCCAGCTACAAATATTGTTCAAGTTCTGAATGACAGAGATCATCGTTTTTCCACTCACGGAAGTGAAAGTTATCGTCATTTAAATGTTACCGTTGTGACAATTAAAGTTTTTGTTGCCACATTAAGCACTACATAGCTACAACGTTGGGAAAATAATACATTTTGTATCCATTTCTGGTATATACCATCCACGTGAAGTTTGATGTAGTGACAGTTATTTCAATGACTCGTTCTGATTAGCTGTGCTGATATGTCCTAGTCATTTAACCATTTGATGCTACTGGACTCACTGAATAAGAAAGTTTTTTTTTGTCGCTTAGGTAACCATTCACCCTTGATAAGACCATATCATGAATATGGATTTTGGGTAGAAGGACTATGTTTGTTACCATGTTTATGCTCTAGGATGGTGATATGCTGTTCACATTTGAAAGGGTGTGCCCCAAAGAATAATCCACTCAATAAGCACAGAACGTGATTACGAAATTTGAGCACCGTGTAGTGAGTAACCATTAGCCTTCGCACAATAGGTATGATAATTGTAATTACGTGCACGTAGCTGTTTGAATGACACTAGCGTAGAATATCTTTTAATGAAGAATGTGATACATTATACCAAGTTTTGAGGATTCTGACCATTTCCGTAAATATAAGTGTAACTAAATAGGAATATTGAGTTGGTTGTCGAAACTTTGATATATCTTTTGCTCGTACACTGCTACCGCAAAGCATGTGTCCTGTATGTTGCTGCTAGTTGTCATGGGACAAACCGTTCACATTTTCGAGGATGCTATATTAAAAAAACATATAACAATTACTTTTCGAGTGCTCTCACTTTTGTTGGGGTACTCACTAACTAAGGTTTGTCTAATTTAAGTATAGTAGAATATTTTCCAACTGCCTAATACTTTGCGGGGTTACTCACCTGTTGATGAGACTGCGGAAAAGAATCAGTGTCTTCTTACAAGTTTTATTTCGTTAGGAAATATCGTTATCTGTATTATGTCAAAACATTCATATTGATGAGAAGATTCAGTTTGTAGTTAATTTTCTCAATAGATTCCTCACTATCGTCAAGAAGCCTATTGTAATGTCAAGCTTCAACATGTTTTCTGGAAAACCATATGGTTTGTATTGAGGTGGTTGACACATATACACGTTTGGCAGATGAACTTTCTGTCTCAGATCCCAGTCTTGAATTCAGGAGTCTGCCTATCTGTCTTGTCCAGTTGTGCACCTGCAGCCTAGGTAGAGTGTAATACCTTCATAGTTGCCTGTCAGTGTCACTAGTAGCACATTCGTATATTTCCCAACCACTACAAATTTGCTTTTTACGATGGCGCACTACTGATAACAGATCCAGTTCTGATGTGGATTATACACAGCTGAACTGTTCACTAAACTTGTTACGAGAAGTTTAGTCCTGAATATGGTTGTATTGTTTAGGCCTATAGAGTCAATGGCTTTGTTGGATTTGATTGTTTCTCTGTTGCCGATTTTGCTTGAGTTGTAGTCATTTGAATTTCTTGGGATGCTTTAAAAGCCCAATGGTATGACGAAAAAAAAACAATTTAGCGATGGTTTCTAGCAACAGTGTATGAAATCTGCAAGTGCTTGGCTCATATACCCTAACTGCCTTTGATCATAGGTGCCTGCGTTCTATCTTCCATGTGAAATGATATAGTAGGGTAAGTAATACTGAAGTTAGGCGTCGAATGCTGGGTAAGGAGGGGAAACCAATCGACGAGGCTGTGAAGTTACATCCATTGAGAGAGATGGTTAAGACTTGTGTTACGCATGCATTCCTGGTCATCGCTTTTCTCGACTGGCAATTTTAGCTGACATAGGGTCAGGTTGAAAAAGAGTTTGCCAGCAGTGGTAAAACCAAAACATGGCACCAGTCAATGAAATCCACAACAATTGGTTTGAATCTCGTAGGAAGATGTAGACTTCCTGGTTGGGGTCCTCGGAACAGTGAAAAGCAATGGCTGGAGACAATCAGTGCTATGGCTCGAAATCGTTCTCAATGGCAGGCGCAGATGCATCCACTGCTTGTGACTTATAATTTCCTATGAAACTATATGGTTCTTCGTTATTACTATTCCTTTTGTCTCATATCCCTGTCTACTGTCTCTATTTCGCACTTCTTTTTACTTCTCTTGCTCTGTGTGCCACAAGGAGGGAGAGTGGCGACTTAAACTGCCGCCCATCGGTGTAAAGTTCTATGTTGAAAACAGACAGACAGACAGGGATTCAAAGCTTCATAACAGTTAATCTGATCTTGATAACCATCTAGAAATGCTGAATTTGGTTGATTTGTATAAGTCCTTTTTCGTTTCATTACAGTTTAGATTGTTGTTTATTGATAACAATTTATGTTACCAGCTAATGGGAAGAAGCTCTTCCACTTTATATTTGTTTCTAGGATGCTCATAATTGCATTCCCGATTTTGATGTCTCTCGGGGAGTATCGTTCTTCGCTGTTTACGATGGTCATGGTGGATCAGAAGTCGCACGATACTGTGCTGAAAAGATGCCTAAATATTTGATGGAACATCCAGCTTATAAAAATAATAATGATAATAACAAGACAGATATGAAAGAAGCACTGAAACAATTATTCCTTGATTTTGATGCTACACTGGTAACACCGGAAACTAAAGCCACTTTGAGTAAACTATCAGAGGCTGACAAAGCTGATGATAGTGATGGTGGGGATGAAAAAGAATCACATGTTAAAATTCATTGTGTAAGTATCATTCACAGTTGTTATATTCATAGATTTTATTAGACTCTGGCCGATGATGATGATGAGGATGATGATGATGGTGGTGATATTGATGTTGATAATAATGATGACGATGATGTAGAAGAAGATGCAAGTTATTCAGAACTGTTGGCTTTACGCGCTGAAGCAAATCAACCGTTGGAGCATGTTTTAGAAAAGTATGGCGGAGAAGATGCTCTACCCTCTAGTATAAAGGTAAAAATATGTAAACTGTTTTTTTCTCCTTTTTTTCTTTCTTTAAAAGTACAATTTCACATCGTCATATTATTGAATGTGTTTGTTGATTAACAGAAAGTTTTACATTATTGTATAGATTCATAGAATTGATTCCTAGTCGTGAGTATAGGGTTGGTTTAGAAAAGAGTTGATAGTGGTCAAACCAATCAAAATTTATCATCAACCTATGAGTTTCTTGGCGTATGGTTTTAGCCAGTTACATAGAGGAATTCCTGTCGGGTTGGTGGAAGTCATTGATTTTCCTGAAACACAAGAAGGGAGACAAGTCTTCCTGTGATAATCACAGGGGGATTAGCTTGACTAATATAGTATCTAAAGTCCTAGGCTCAATTATAATGCGTAGACTAAGTGGTGCTGGGGAGGCACAAACATGGGAGAACCAGGCAGGCTTTAGACCAGGAAGAGAGTGTATTGATCACATCTTCACCCTTCGACAGATTCTGGAACATAGGCATATTTACCGGTGGTGTCGAACAATCGTTATATTTCTTGACCTAGAGGCGGCATTTGGCTGTTAAGGGAATGCCGAGAAAACATGTTGCACTGATCAAGGTACTCTACTCGAACTCATGCACTCAGCCAGGTGAGAGCTTATGGCGAGTTGTCATCTGAAGTGGTGACAACTAGTGGTGTCCGTCAGGGATGCCCACTATCCCCATTTCTATTCAATTTCATCATAGATGTACTAGTGTACTTAACCCTAAGTAAATTCAGAGACTCAGGGATTGACTTGTTACCAGGTAATAATCTCGTTGATTTAGACTATGCAGATGATATAGTCCTTGTAGGTGAAGAAGCTGACAAAATGTAGAGTCTACTGAACACCTTGAGTTGCAATCTGTGAATGTTTGCCATGCGATTCGATCCCGCCAAATGTAAGACGATGCTACAGGACTGGACTACATCGACTCCTAGCTTATAAATAGGGAGTGAAGTGGTTGATGAAGCGTGTTGACCATTTCACTTATTTGGGAAGTTGCATCATCCTCAACGGGTTGGTCTCTAACGAAATCTCAGCACGGATACATAAGGCTAGTTTCGTATATGCCAGTTTACGCCGTTTCTGGCGTAGACGTGATATCCGGCTGGCTGTTGAGCAAAGTACGTGTGTACTGCTCAGCAGCAGTCCGCTCCGTCCTCCTTTATGGTTGTGAGTGAGACCTGGCTATTGAGAGTGGAAGATATGAAAAGCCTAGCTAGCTATCTTTGATCAATGGTGCCTGCGTTCTATCTCCCATGTTAAGTGGTATAATGGGGTGAACAATATTGAGGTTAGGTATCGGGTGCTAGGTAAGGAGGGGAAATCAATCGACGAGGCTGTGAAGCTACATCGACTGGGAGAGATGGTTAAGACATGTGTTACGCATGCATTCCTGGTCATCGTCTTTCTCGTCTGGCAATTTTAGCTGACATAGGGTCAGGTTGAAAAAGAGTTAGCTGGTGGTGGTCAAACCAGAACATGGCTGGCTTCATCAGTCAATGAAATCCACAACAGTTAGTTTAAGTTAACTACGTAGGAAGATATAGACTACGTGATTGGCATCCTCAGAAGGCTAAGAACTAATGCCTTCAAGGCTTTTGATGATGTAGCTCAAAATCTTTCTCCATGGTGCAGATGCAGTTACTTATTCTTCCTACCGGTAGATTTCTGATGACTACATTCTCTTTCTCCTTTCTTTACCTTTTTGTGCTACATCGAGTGTGTCCACTTGAGTTGTTGCACTTCTATGCAGAGTTCTCTGCTGAGAACTCAGTTAGTCAAGTGTGAGTACAGTCTTTCGGTACATTTCGTATTACACTGGATATGTTAAGAAAATGCAGTGGGACATTAAAACACGGTAGCCAATAAATATTGTTGTTCTAAGATTGGTAGCCCATTTATGTCCTACAAGTGGTATTTCAGATTATATTTAAGCAGTTTAGATTGCAGGGGGGGGGTGGCATTGATTAAGTCTTCATTCTCTAACTGGTTGTTGAATACGGATATGGCTATCAGTATCCAACCTTCCGATTTTTCATGACCCAAAAGCGGCATTCAGCTTTGTTACAACCAAGAAATATTTTGGCATTGTTTAACTCTGAAGAAAATATCATGGTACTCTTCTCAACTCTCACATCCGTTTTGTCATCTTCAAGATACTTTCATCGTATTGATCATGTGTACATAAACATCAGTGGATAGGTCAGTGTTAAGAGGGAGACAACGTGCTGAATAAGAGAATGAAAGTCAATTTATTCTAAGGCTGCTTGGACGCCTTACGCAAGCTAAGCAGCCACCCTTTAGCATCAGTGGTCAAAGTTAACTTACCTTACTAGTCTTATATCCGGCTTTATTTTGATAAGTTCTCCTTTGATGTTCACTTCTTTTCTGTTCTGTCAGAAAATGCAGCATATTGAGATGGTGGATTTCTGTGTTATATATTGTGTGTGTTGTTGTTTCGAAATGCTGAATAACTTCTTCATTACCTTATTGCCTTTAATTGTAGACTATACTGGATTTTCGACGTCAAATGAAAGTTGGTGAATGTAGCCATAGTCCGATCAAGCTAACTGACGCCTCATCAGGAGGCTCATCAAGTGGCAATATAAAATCCAAAGAAACAGATTCCAGTGACACTGTTCAAGTGTCTGATAATACTGGGAGTGATGGTGTTGGTGATGCAGAGTAGGTTTCTCTCATAAAAACACTACCACTACTACCATACCTTTGGTTTTTATTATTATGTTCAGAGAGCTTATAGTTTAAATGATTTTTCTTATAATTGATTACTAAATATGTATGTGTCTGTGGCGTGAAGTAATTACTGTCAAGATGAGTAATAAGAGTGATATTCACTTTACAAGTGTTTAAGACTCTTTGTGCGGTATTTTTATATGCGTGCATGCGTGCGTACGTGCGTGTCTGCATGCAAATGTGTGTGAGTGTCGGAGGATGATGGCCTATAACAAACATAAAATTTCAAATTAGTGTCATCCCGTAAAATCTCCAATGATAAATTAGCAGTGCCATCGTCATGTTATATCTGTTATATCAAAGAGATTTTAGATCAGGATTCAGTACACACAGTGAAAAAATAGGTATTGTCATATCGATCGATTCGTGTAGCGTTCACCCACTCACTCACTCACTCACTACCGATAACCAGTAATATTGGCGTATAAGGTACATTACTGCTTTTCATTATCTTCAATCAAGGTTTCAGTAAATAGATGTGTTCTTATACGACCTAGAATTAAAAAAATTTCTCATATTATGCATGTATGTATGTATGCAGGTATGTATGAAAGCGTGTGAGTATATTTCATTCAATTAGTGCATACTGATGAATTGGCAAATGCAGAACAGTGTACTGCAAGTTAAAGTTAGCTGTTTACAATTTGCCAAACATTAAATACATTTTTAACCTGACCAGTTGATTGAGAAAATCACCTCGGTTCTCATTTAAATGTTACATAACCCACTCAAAAATCATGCATCAATTGTTCAATGATAAAATGCTCTTCAGCCATGCAGGAGGTCTGAGTTCGATTCCTGACAAAATAACTCCTAGACTTCAGCTAGTCTAACACCTCAGAAAAGAGGGTAGGTTGAGTGTGAGTTTAGAAACTCAACGTAGAAGTAACACCACCACTACTGAGAATTCAAATACTGAACCTCTTTATTTAACTCGGAACTCTGTGTAATGAAAAAATTATGTCGTCCCTATTTTATGTATCATCTATAAAGCTTTTTATGCTTATTTGTGGTGCTCGTTGTTCTTAGTTGTGGTTTTTTGCCTACTTAAAAGAAAATAAGTAGTTAATGTTGCTTTTTCTTATTTTTTCCTCCTTATGTTTCTTTAGGACCACTAAAGAAAGTTCTGGTGAGTGTTATTAATCTCTAATCGTTATTATTATTATTATTGGTTAAGTTATATTTTGAATTTTGGAATAAGATTTTTGCGGCTTCATGTATAACTGTTCAACTTCGTCTGTCTTCTAGGAGGATATATTGTTGATTTCAAAGCTAACTAGTTTAGTCTCTGATAAATGTTCTCCACAAATTAGGATTTGAAACATTTGATTCTGTAGTTTCATATCGACTTGATGGGGGGGGAATCACTCCGGTCTTCTTTCGAAACCAAAATATATTCCGACCACAATATGTAATCTCTTTGGTACTATAAGTGACAATCGAAAAAGCAAGAGAAATGGCTTGACGGTATATGCAATTTATTGTTTTTATTGGTAAACAAAGTTGGAAATGTTTTCCTGATGCCAAACACAGGAGTGCTTGATAGTCGGATCAAAGTGATCCAAACATCGGGCGGTGGTTTCGCTCACTTGCAATCGAGCTTATTGTTGGTGTACTACACAGTTTGGCTGAGCTCGGAAAACCAAATCATTCACTCCATGTGTCATAGTTTTTGAAGTACAGGATACACTCATAAACTCCAGTCATTTTTGTTTTTTAAGCTGTCAGGTGGTGTGAGTAAATCGTCCTTGTGACATGTGTGTGTGTGTGTAACTTCTGGCTGTGAATGCTCAAGTCTTCTCGTGTTCTCACCTTCATACTTTTTTGACTTGTATGTGTCCACAGATGCTGCCTCAACGTAGCTAAATAAACAGAAGCGCATTACGAATATCCTATAGGTTGGATAGAACTTAGCTACCCAATCCCGGGTTATGAGTCATACCTATTGTGTATGTGCTAATGATGATACTAACCAAATTGAGAGATTCAAACGTAGAATGCCTTGGCTGCTTCAGCCACTAAGCTACATCTGCACTTTTAGTTATTATTTATTGAATTCATCCGTCGTAATTGTCATTATCACTCTTTTTGTGTGTATTAGACAATGGCATTCAATCTAAAGGAACAGAGGGAAAGGAAGAAGAAGAAAAAGAAGAGAAAGATACTGATTCTAAAAAAACTCCTGCTGCTGCTGCAAAGAAGGACTCGACCAGTACGTCTTCAGAAAAACCTGCAGATAGCACAGATGACAGTAAACCTGCAACTGACACATCTGGAGATGAAGATGAAAGTGATGATGACAGCGCAGATTTCGATCCCGAGGTTGAGCTTGAAGAGAGTGATGATGACGATGATGATGATGAAGACGACGACGACGACGATCGACGATGATGACGATGATGACGACGATGATGATGATGACGAAGACTCTGAAGATGATGAAATTACGGGCTTACCTGTATCACGTTCTTTAGAAGAAATGGCAGATGAAACAGAGCCTGGTGTAGACAGTGGTACTACTGCATGTGTTGCAGTCCTTGTCCCGGTTAAAGGAGCTGTTCGTCTGTATGTTGCTAATGCTGGAGATTCACGAGCTGTACTCTGTCGTGGTGGTGCTGCTGTCGACTTATCAGTTGATCATAAACCGGAGGATGAAGATGAAAAAGCCCGAATAATTGCAGCTGGTGGAACTGTTACCCGAGATGGTCGTGTAAATGGTGGTTTGAATCTCAGTCGAGCACTTGGTGATCATAGTTACAAGGTGAGTGTTTAGTGATAAATGTGAAGATGTTACATTTGATAACGGCATAGATTGATATGCTTTTGTTGGTTTTGTTTCATGACGAAGATATTTGGTAGTGAATGCTATTCACATCTTTCTATGGGATATAAGGTTTAATAACCAAAGACGTATTACACTGTCTAGTTGTCTTGTTTTTACCAGCTTTCTTGCATCTTATCAGGTACTTCTTATGGTTGCTGACAATCTGCAGTTTTTAGAGACGAAGTAAAAACACAGTAGTAGTTCACTGACAGCTAGATTTAAGCCTTACTGCATATGGAATTGTGAATGACTTGTCCGGGGGAGCTGGACTTCAAACCAATGGGTTAGTGTTTTCGTACCCCGCTCCACCTACCTAGTTTTAGGCAGCCATGTTGAGTACTGTCATCTTCATACAAAAGGCGCTGCGGATCATTGATAAACTGTATGGTAATACTGCAGGTGATTGTTGAGTAACGTTCATTCTCCGCGTCTTGTGGGGCTCGTTACATACACTAAAAGTTTATCGGTATGAGTGACAAACTCCGTGTGGCACATAATTTTATGGTTTAGTATTAGTCATACGATCTACTCTATTTCACCCTCTGACCTACGTTCAACTCGTCATTTTTCATTTGGATCTCACTGGGTGCCACTCAACACTTCAGCGTTATGTCCAAGTCATCTACGTTTTCTTTTGCGTATTTATTGGGCGATAGATTCTTCAGGAAAGATGCTCCGGAAGGCTTTGTATGATTTTGGAAGAGTATGGGCGGTTATTACTTCCTGGCTGCCCACATCTTGGAAGTTGCTTGGTTCTTCGGGTACTTGAAATAGAAAGAGTTAGTGTTGCCTGACCACAGTGCCCAGGGGACAATTGCTTGAGGCCGGTCACACACGGCTTGTATTAACTGGTTCCTTGGATTGGTTCCGTATTATTAAATTTACCGCCGGTTACGGAGCACCGTAGGGTAAGTCAGGATGTACAATTTTCGGGGTCGACCTTTTCTAACTCCCTCTCTCCAGCATAGAGAGACAGCATAGCTGGAATACTAGTCATCTGATAGAAACACTTTACTGCTGTTACATCCCTGTTCGCCAGCAGTCCAACTTCGCCCACAGACCCTCAACATAGTGTAAAAAGAATATTGCACTATGCCGCTAACTGCTTTTAGTCTAACCGCTATCCTAACAAATCTTGTTGGCATGGTAGGATCTGCAGGAACATTAATTCCAGCCAGTGTAGTTTGTTGGGTCATCGCGATATACAAGCCCGACCACTACGTCAAGTTAGCGGCTATCCGTCGTGTTAGGTTCTTAGCTGGCGGTTAGCAGCTGCCCCTTAGAGAGTTCCGTGTGCGTGTTGCTTATCCTTTCCAACCTGTCATCTGATGTTCAATATCGAAGCTGTGGATCCATTTGTTGAAGGTCTACGAAAGCCCACTGGAAATTCTGTTGATGATGCGCCTGCCAAATCTCTGTGTTGAGAAACCCGAATCTTGTCCCTTATTCTGAGTGTTCAATAGATTTCCATACTCATTTTAAACTACTGAATATTATATTTTGTTTTCCGATCCTGGCTTTGTGTCTCCTGAAGTTGGGACGATGCTGCCTGAATCAATGAAAGGAGCGAAGTCGTTTAGATTTCTTCTGTTGATAATGACTAATGTATCTTCATCACCTCTGTCTCTTCTCTATGTGTTCTCTAGGAGTCCTGTGTTTGCTGTCAGTCTCTTCTGCCAACTTGTTGGTTTTTGCTTGTTAATCATCTCGACGAAGTAAAAATTTTCCAGTGTGTCTTCTCCTCACTCATATGTATGCCTTTCATTCGAATTCATAAAAGGACTTCTTGAAAAACTGCTGAATCGTGTTCTCACCGTCTAGCTTCTGTTGTTGCTTGGTGGTGGTTTCACTGTTATCTCTCTGAAGGAGGAATTCTACAGTCAGTCACACCTAATACTCTAATAGTCATGTGCTAGTCTAAAGTTCAGTAGGTTTGAATACAAATGGCATATTTGCTGTTGAAAATGGCTTTTTTTTATATAATGCGAACCTTGTAGGATCTTGCATTCTGTTACTATACAATTTTACTATTATTTTATTCCTTTACGTTCCCAGTGTGGAACATAGGGCTTCAAGCTAGAGAGGCTTGAAGTTTCGATAGCACTAGTGTTTTTTTTTCTCGTACGGAATGGGGTTGCTAGCGTCATGTGAAAGCTTCCCTCTTTACCAGTCATCTTTTACTGGCTTAGCGAGGTAAAGGAATGCCTCAGTGGCCGGGGATAGTACCCCGAACCACATAAGGCCGTGGTTGGCGAGCATTCTACCTCTGTACCGCCGACGCCTATTACTATAAAATATTCCACACAATTTCTTCCCCTCACATAATCGCGCCTTTTTTTCTTCTTGTTTAACAGCAAACACCAAATATTCCCTTGACTGATCAAATGATCACTCCATCACCAGACGTTACAGAGATTGATCTTATCCCATCAGCTGATGAATTCCTAGTGATCGCATGTGATGGTGTATGGAATTCAATGACTAGTCAAGAGGTTGTAGAATTCATTCAGGATCGTTTACATCCTCCGCCTCATCCTCTTACTGCTACTGCTACTAAGGCAAACAATAAAAATAATACGAAAAGTCATTCGAAGGATGCTGGTGAGGAGAATGGCGATGCCACTGAACAATTGACTTCAGCTGATAAATTGTCAAAGATTTGCCATGAGGTAAGACTACTAAATTACAATATTTATTTTATTAAAAAAAGTACTATATTTAGTCGCATTGATGATACTTATTTTCAAGTATTGATTTTGTAGGGTTTTTTGTTTGATTGCATGGAGGATTTCATCATGAGCTGACATCAGTTAGAGAACCACTGGAAAACCAGCTAGGGAGTACTGGGCAGATGTTTTGTCCTAGTTTGGAACTCTTCATCAGTACGCACCCACCGCAGTCCAAATCTAGGACCTTCTGGTTACAAGGTGAGCGAGCTCATAGACCATTGAGCCAATGGGACCCGATCCAATGGTCTTTGAATTCTAACTTCTGCCAATTCACAACCTAGCGCGACTATTTCGCAATGCCTTTTGTTGCTTGTGGTCATGGTTTATTTGTTGTGTGTCTGTTCTGTCTCCCGTGTTAGGTGGTTTAACATGGTGAGTAATATTGAAGTGAGTTGATTAAGGGAATTCAGTCGATAAGGTTTTGAAGCTGCATCGATTGAGATGGCTACGGTACGTATGATGCATACCAAACCATCACCTTCCTTGATATGTTAAAAGTTGCTTCGCGAAGAGCAGGCCGGGTTTTCGTTCAGGCCGTGGATGTGTCAGTTGTTGGAGCACTCGTATTGTGTTTTTCGATATTAGGACTGCTTTCGATTCGCTGGACAGAACCGCTCTCTAGAATTGTCTGTTAGACAAGGGTGTACCTGAGAAGTTTGTTAACACCCTGAAAACCCTATATACAGGAACACCTGAGGTAGAGTGCAGGCATACAACCAGCTGTCATCACTGTTGCAAACCAGCAGTAGGGTTACCTGAAAGGGTTGCCCGATCTCTTTAACTTTGCCACTAATGACATTCTGGAGTTAGCTCTGAAGGGTGTAGGTGGTGATGTAGATCTGCTTCCCGGAGAAAAACTTTTCGACGTATGGTATGCAGTCGATATCGTTGACTGTGCGATAGCATTCAGGCTGACCAAATCACACTTAGTCAGTTGGCAATTAGTGTCTGTAAGTATGGTATTTACTTTGTTCCGTTTCAGTACAAAGTACTGTTATAGAATTGACGGGAGCCTGTACTTGCACTTACCCTTGCAAGTGAACCGCTTGAAGTTGTTGGTAAATTCGTATATCTGAGTAGTCGTGTGAGTGCTGGCGGAAGTGTGACGGACGAGATTTCTAACCGTCTAATAAAAACTGAGGTGACAATTTAAGCCACCTCTGGTGCCGTTGTGATGTTAGCCTGGCTGTTAAGGGTCGGCTTCACAATGCTTCGGTGCGCGTAGTCTTGCTCTACACCTTCGAAACCCGGTCACTGTTGCCGAGAATTGCTTATGTGAGTAATTCTGAGGTGTTCGGCATCATGCGTTTGGACACAATGGAGGTCACCATTCATTGAGCTTCGTCATCTGGAAATACCGGCTTCGGTGGTTTGGACATGTGCTACGAATGTCATCCCAGAAGCTTCTGTACCGGTCTCTGTTCTCCAGCCCAGGAATTGGCTGGAAAAAGCTGATAGGTGGTGATCAGCCTATGATGTGGTGTCTTGGGATAAAGGGTATTTGTGTGATAGGTTAGCATCGGTCGGTACATCACGATTCCCTCTAAATGTTATCAGATATGGCCGAGAATCACAATCAATGACGAAAATGCTGCAGTTTCCTGCTTCCTTTCTGAATGACGTACCTTATTTTTTCTCCTCCTACTTTCTTTTTATATTGTCGTTTTGTTATTATTGTGTGACGCACCTTTTTGGGTACCTATATTGCACCAGATTTTGTGTTCTAAATAAATGAATGAGTAACCGTTGATTTGAACCAGTGACGTTAGGAGATGTAGATCGCCACGTGATTATGGCCATCGGGATTCCAAGAGACTGTTGATGACTTGGCTCGAAATCTTTATCTTACTTACTGAATCGTTCCAAAATAGAACTTTGCACAGATGAGCAGCTGTTCGAGTTACCACACTCCATCCTAGTAGCACACAAAGCAAGGGAAGAGACTAAACAGAGAGAGAATAAACACAATCGTGAGTGAGGAAAAAAGAATAATAATATGGAAGAACAATAGAGTTTTATTAGATATGACCTATCAAAACGAGTGAATGCATCTGCACCATTGAGAACGAAGATTTTGAGCCATATCACCAGTTGTCTCCAACCATTGATCCTTAGAATCCTGAATACCCCAACCAGGCAAGCAGTCTACACCTCCCTATGTGGCTTAAACTAACTATTGTGTATTCTATTGACTAATGAGGTCATGTGCTGATCAACATAAATGTTTTGGTTTGACCATCGTGTGCTGTCTCTTTTCCAACCTGTGTCAGCTAACATTCCCGTTGAGGAAGGTGATGACTGAGCATGCGTAACACATGTCCGAACCATCTCTCTCAATCGATGTAACTTCACAACCTCGTCGATTGATTTCCCTTCCTTACATCGTACTCACTGGACGCCTAAACTCAATATTACTCACCCTATTATACCACTTAACACGGGAGATCGAATGCGCAGCTATCTAGGCTTTTCATATCTTCTACTTCCAATGGACATGTCTCGCTCACAGGCATAAAGTAGGACGGAGCGGAGTGCTGCTGAGCAGTACACACGCCCTGTGGTCGTTAGCCAACCAGATATCACGTCTACTAAGCCAGCGATGGCATAATTTGGCAAATACTGAGGTTCCGTCGGTGATCAGTCCGCTGGCAATGTTTGATACAACTTCTCAAATAACAAGTGAAATGGTCAACACATTCCACCAACCACTTCAATCTTGCCTATCTTCAAGCTAGGAGTGGGTCAATGTTATCCAGTCTCGGTAGTATATCGTGTTTTACAATTCAAGGTGGTGCAGATGCATTCACTCTGTGTGTTATCACTCATATTCATCAAACTCACATGTTTTCTCATGTCGTCGTATCTTTCTCTCTCAGTGTTGTGTGTATGTGTACTACATATGAGAGTGTGACAATTTTGAAGTGTTGTAATTGTGTCACCAAAATGAAAAAAAACCCCAAATCTAACGGATTTCAACACGCCAATTGTGTAGATTTTATGTCGACATCTCAGAACTGATTCAATTTTGATGCTATCATCATCACATTAAAATATTTATTTGCTCTTTACCTTACAGATATTTGATCATTGCTTAGCGCCAAACACAGACGGTGATGGAACTGGTTGTGATAATATGACCTGTATTATAGTTCATTTTGATGATCTACCTGGATGGGTTGAGCATTGTGAGAAAAACTCTGCCGCTGCCGGTGCCGCCACCGATGCCTCTACTGTTGCTGTTGAGAATAACACAGTGTTGTCGACAGTTAAATCACCTCGAAAACGTTTAACATCATCATCAACATCTTGTGAAGTTGTTGAAGAAGACAACAAGACTATTATTACTACTACTAATAACGGCGATACAAACGGTGGAACAAATCCTGTTAGCCTATCATCATCTCCTAGTCAAACAATGCCTAAACGCCCTCGATTAGAATTTTCCAACTCTAAGGATGATACAGATTCTACGATTACTACAAATGGAACTGATAATACTGGTGTTATCAATGCTACTGCTGTTGTCAGTGAATAATTGTCTGCTGCTTGGTTGTTTGTTTGTTTGTTTTTCAAACGTTGCACTCACTTAATCAATAATTATTACCGAGAAAAAACAAACAAACAAACCAACACTGAGTAGTACTCGTTTCTAGTTCTCTTCTGTTGTGTTTCATGTGTTGTTTGTATTTTTTTTTGCAGAAAAATATTTTTTTTTTAAATTGTTCAATCCTCTTGTTTATTCCTTTTGCTGCTCTTATGGATTTTAAAAAAGGGTTCCTACTGCTACCACAACTACTAATGTTTATGTTTTTTTTGTGGAAAAATCCCATTAGAAGGAAGTGCATTTATTGTTATTTCATCTTGTTTATTCCCTGAGAATCTTTTAGCATGATGAAAAGAAAATCTACAAATTTGTCAACAAGGATTAACTAGTGTCTTGTTTGAATGTAAATTTCACTGGTGAATAAATGAATGAATGAACAGGAAAGACAATGGAATACTTCTAGGCGTCACTATCACTACTACTACTATTGTTATTCTTATTTTAGCAATCATTTCTGTATACTGCGTCGTTTTTTCTTTTTACTATCCCATTATCTTTCTCTTTGTCTACTCCATAACATAACATCAAGTTTATACTAGGATACAATATGGTTCTTTTCTGTGTTCCGACAATCCCATTTTGTCGTGTGTGTGCGTGGGCGCGTTTACCTTCTAGCTGGCTGGCTGACTGACTGTTGACAGTGTTGCCACACTTTCTTGTCAAATAATGCCATGAATATAATTGTCTTCCTTTAAAGACACCTAACACTGCCTTTCTATCCGTCTTTATTTCTAAAAGTTGTAAGTTTTACTGGCTGCACAGATATTGCGTATATATCTATATACATCTATATTGAATGCACCAATATTATTATCTCACGTTGACTCCATTTCTGTTTTGTTTGTTTGTTTTGGTTTCTGCCACTTGTATCTCATCTCAGCTGTTCTTATATTGCCAATAAACTGTTCAGATTTATTTTTTGCTCAAATCTTCTGTCTATTGCTGTGTATAAATTATAACTATTATCTTTACTACTCTCGTTATTCTATAAGTTAATGTATTTTTTAGTTATATATATATATATATATATATATATATATATATGCATATGATACTCAAATTGTTTATGCTCATTTTGAAACCCTGTTGTTTATTTGTTAAATAATGTTATTCCATGTATACACATAAACACACAGAAAGAGAAGAAGAAGAAAAGGGAGTTCAGTTTACTACCAAATAAAAATCTCGTTTTTAATCTGTAATTTGTTGCATCTTTTTCTTCTTCATTATTTATTATCAGTACTAAAATACAGACAAATTTCTGTCTCATAGATTTTGCGAGAGTTGACCTGGGATACTTGCTTGACGCCCAATCAAAGTAAGTGGTTGTCCAAGGAGGACAACCTCCCCCACACCATTGAAACCGGTGACTTGAAGTTAGATCCTCAAGGCAGTAGAGGTACACATTACCCTGGTGGTGTGGTGACCAAAACAGGTTCACACGCTATTCTATCCTATCTGGAGATTCTGTAGCCCATACACACCATAGGTTTAGAGTCAGAGTTTACTAGCTCACTCTAGGTTGACCGATATTTACCCACTATTATTTTCGTTGTATAAGCGTCAGAAGTTCGTTTTTGTGAAGAACTCCCTCGCCGAGTGAAGGCGGTGAATAGGACTTACCTGGCAGAGGCCATATTGACGTGTGGCCACGTAAGAGTATTTTGAGAGGGGGAATTGAAGTCTACCCACTCTGTTGGCCGCACCAAGTCTTTTATGAGGATCCAGGTTGAATTGGATGGGACGGGATTCGGACCTATCAGCCTAAAGTCGAGTACTTGGCCGCATCTCCATACCCAGCTTGATGTAAAATCTAGTCTGTACTTGATATAAGGATAAAACTTGGGCACTATGGTAGAGTTTATCTCCATTATGGATAAAATTTTATTTTGATAAAATCAGTGTTATACAGAAATATTTGCTGATGACTACGTTTCGAGCACAATTTACTGCTGCTCATAATCGTATTAAGGTACTCACACAACTTGATTCGTTTATATAAATGAGCGAAATTTGATTAGACATTTGAATAAAAACAATATGAGATAAAGTGCATTCAGAAATAATATTCGTGTTATCAATAAAATACAATAAGACGGGAAATAAGAAGTTTTATAGTAAAAATAAATAACTTGTTATAATGTGAATTGAATACATTTTAACGTCATTTATTATTCTCCGATTTAACTGGTAATTATACCTTCCATATGTCTGGTATTAGTGATGAGTCATTCCTGCTGGGTGTAGGTAGGTTTACTCGATGAACTTGGATTCAGTAATCGATCTCCTCGCCCACCTAGCTGTATGACTTTTTAGAATTTTAACCCTCTCCCACCCACCCTATTGTGTTTTAATGTATGCAGTGCTATAGCTGAGTTTTTAAAAAACTTACTTATCTTCGTGGTATCAATCATCCAGGTCTTAGCTAAATTCTTATGTTCTGACAATGAGACTAGCCCAGATCTAGTAGTTTGACCCGATTCACAGTCGTTGCAAGGTATTTTGTAAATTATATTATTTCGTCTAACTGGGTCTACCGGATCCATTCCATCTGTATAAGTATTATTGTTTTGAATAAAGCGATTATTATTATTATTATAATATCAGGTGCCGTGATCCTTAAGTACAATAAAGTTCAGTTAGTATTGAGTAAATAATTTCGTGTTTATATAGATTATGGAAAATTCATAAAACAGCAGGATGACCTCTTCTTCCTATTCTGGATACGACTGATTCTTCATCATAACGGTATCATTCAGTGGCTAGGCAGAATACTGGAACCAATTAGAAGGTGAGTGCTTAAGTTTACAGATGACAATACAATACACTTCAGTCTGTTGAGAACATTAGAGTTTTTAAATGGTCGAGGCAAAATTATGCTTTCATTAGTTGTTAATCTGGTTGATTTCATCTTGTGAATTTTCTTGTCATCGTATTATCAATTCTCTTTCTGAACTCAGTAATAGAGAGAACTCATACCACCTACAAACCAAAACATGAAAATTAATCTATTTTCCAGGACTTCATCATGAGCTGACATAGATTTGAGAACCATTGGAAAAGCTAGCGGTACTGGACAGTCAGCTGTTTCGTCCCACTAGCTTGGGACTCTGCCTCATCAGTATGCACCCACCACAAGGGTCCCAACCCAGGTTATTCTGGTTACAAAGTGAGCGATCTCGTAGACCATTAAGCCACTGGGACCCGCCAATCCAATGGCCAGCCTATGGATTCCAACTTCTGCCAATTCACGACCGCTAGTCAATGTCTTCGGCGAATATTTGTCCTCACACCCGACCTGTTGTACCCTACTGGTTACGAATTCCCACTGGAATCCCAGGTAACTACCTACCTGAATCGGGCCAGTCTCTAGTGAGCATCGAACCCCGGTGGGTGCGTATTGATGACGAGTTCCAAACTAGGAAGGAAAAGGTGGCTGTCCAGTACCCGCAGCTGGCTTTCTAATGGCTCCCTAACCGATATCATCTCATGATGAAATCCCGTAACCAATCAATCAAACCCCTACAAACCAATACTTGATAATCTAGTTTCCACTGGTAATTGACAAAAGAATGAAGTCGCCTAGAGTTTTAGCGAGAAACTCTCAACACTGGGGGCCGCTTGGTCAGATGTAACGATAAATACTCTCTGATGACAATGGAAGAAGTTAGGATTCATGTGCACTCCCCGATAAACGACCTGATACAAACGTACGTGAGAAGACTTCGGTCGCGTTCCCTGGAAATGCTGTCTCATGTAGCCACGCGCTTGAATGGCCCTGCCGAGTAAGTTCTATTCGCTGCCTTCACGTGGCAGCAACGGATGTTCCTTACAGAAGTAGTGAAAGGATAAATGCGAACGAGTGGCGCTTACACAACCAAACTGTGAAAAGTATTCAGGTCTACCTAGGGGAGTCGGAAAAACTTGATTCCTACAACTTGTAGTGCATATCGGCTCCAACATCCAAAAGAATCGAAAGGCAGGTATAAACTTGTTTTGGTCACTGAAAACCATTGCCTTGTGAGAATCAGACTTCAAGTCAAAAGTTCCGGGAGAGGGCAGGTGATCATTTAAGACAACCACCACCTTCTCTGGTCTTGGTGTCTGGGCAGTATCTCACATATCGCAAAAACTAGGAGACTATTTGTGTGGCCCATAGGATACCATATTTTTGTTTTAATAATTAATAATAATGACTGACTGGCTGGTTTCAACCTAGAACTTTGAACAGATGTGCAGCAGTTTCAGTAACCACACTTCCTTGTAGCACACACAGCAAGAGAACAGAGTAAAGAGAGATTTAAGAGACTTAACAAACAGAGATATTAGGCAAAAAGAATAGTAATATGTGAGAACAATAGAATTTTATTGGATATTATATATCACAAAGGGTGCATGCATCTGTATTAACCACTGAGAACGATGAGTATAAGCCATATCACCAATAGTCTCCAGCCATCATTGGTTTTTATCACTCCGAGGACACAAACCAGTCAGGAAGTCTACACCTCCCTACGTGACTGGCTGGCTTAAACTAATTGTTGTGGATTTCATTGACTGACGAAGCCAGCCATGCTTTGGTTTAACCACCACCAGCTAACTCTTTTCCAACCTCATCCAATTTATGTCAGCTAACATTGCCAGTTGAGGAAGGCGATGGCTAGGCTAGATATGCGTAATACATGTCCTGACCATCTCGATCGATTTGACTTCACAGCCTCGTCGATTGATCTCCCCTCCCTCCTTATCAAGTACTCGACCGATGTCTAACCTCAATATTGCTCACCCTATTATACTACTTCACACGGGAGATAGAACACAGACACCTATGAGCAAAGACAGCTAGCCAGGTTTTTCGTATCTCCCACCTTCAATAATAAAAACGGAATATTCAGGAACTGGCCATTGAATCCTATCGCAATGATGACTAAATAGTCAACAGTCTTACTAGCTGAGTCTTGTTGAAAAGTCGCAAACTATATAACGAAACACTACCTATGAAGCCAGTTCTTCATCCTATTTGAAACAAAATACTGTTACTACTACTAATACTACTTATTTTTGACTCACAGTAGTAGTAAATCAAATGAAACAACAAAAGAAACGACTGCTCCGTATAAAATATATTTCCTTTC